GTGACACACTGTCAATATAAAGTATAAGTGATTTTACCAATATGTGTTTATAGTCTCTCTGCCCTTAAAGTCCATTTGTACTTCCTTTTCCTTGTTTGACTAATTCAGGACGTGGCACTAGTTTATAATTCTTTTAGGAGTGACCTAACACCCGAGGGCACTCCAACTTCTCTTTTTTACTAATGTAACAAGAGTGATTAGTCTCAATACAATAAATATAGTATGGGTAAAACAGAGAATTATGTGGATTGCCACTTATTTTTACTGCATGTTTTTTTTCTATTTTGACACTGTAGTGACAAGTTCACCTTCAGAGATAAAAGTAGTTTTTCATAAATCAAACGCATTTCCAGGGACAAGCAAAACAACATGGCCTAAACCTCTAACAACTGTCTCTTGATCTGGTGGGGGCAACTGACAGCTCTGAATACAGCAGTCAACTCTTCTTCAAGAATAAAGTCTGCTCCAGATTTTTCTGACAGCACATGTCATAGAAAAAATACAGTTCTGTATATATCAAGCAAAGCTTAATCTACACATTTCTACATTTTTTTTTTTGCTACCTGGGACCTACTCCAACATTATTTCCGGCACTGTAAACCATATAAAATACTGCCCCCCTCCACACACACACTTTTTTTTTAATTTTGTTTTACATTAATCATTTCCGTTGGACATTCTAGAAAGAACAAGTGATTAGCTGCCTCCCAGGCTGCATTTAGGTGGGCCTGTTTCTATGAAATGACATAATAAGTGTAATCATGACGATTACCTTTTAAAATCAGACAACTATAAATATTTATAAATTTAGTAGGGCTCAGAAATTGTACTGTTTCTATGGCAACCATAAAATTGAGGAGGCGGTTCGCTTTCTTTGTATTATGTGCCCTCACTCGTCTCCTCTGTTTCTCTCTTTTCGAGAAAGGGGCATGGGGCTTTGTGTTTAAAATCATATATTGTTAACATATTGTATTTTAAGAAGAAATGTTTCCTAAGTGCATGCTACAGTGTGGTGGCGCAGGTGTGAGGGAAGGGTAAACATTCACCTAATAAAAATAGAATGATCGCAGCTAAATGATTAACATAGATTAAATAAAGAGATCCATTTGACATGATTTGCTTTTGTACAGCCTGGTGCACAGACTTTTTCAGCCACAGATTTTGCTGTTAATGATAATTCCCGTAGCTGATCATCTGCTAAACCTAAACTGCTCATAGATTTAATGAGCAAATGTTCAGATGCGAGGTGGAGAGAAACATTAACATAACACAACACACAGCAAGGTACTACCATAGGCTGCTGTGTGTTGTGCTTACCGAGTGCATGGCTAATATTTGGTCCACTGTGGTGCATTGGCAGCCCATTCGCATTTTTAGGCAGCCTTAATGCAGCAAAGCGGACTGAAAAAAAAAGTGCTATTTTCACTTTTGTCTGGAAAATGGCAGACATGAGCCTGTGACTGTAAAGAACAGTGATCATGCACAGATGTACATGAGCCACGATCAGCATGTTTGAGACACAGACGCGGACCTGGCTGTCAGTTTTACAGCCCAGCCCTGTAATTGACACCCGGTGAGCGGCAGTTTCCCTGGTGCAATCTGCAGAGCTCTGCTCTGACAACTGGGTCCCACACTGTACCTTAGGAGCATGTCAAGGCTCAGCTGTCTGTTTGACAGCAGATCTGCTCTGTGTATCAGGAGCCGATGTCCGTGCTCCTTATACAAAAGGAGAGGACGTGGATAAGGGGGTACACCGGTCCTCCTGTACCAGGCCAGGAGGGGGGCCCAGGCAGCTGGGTGATCGGTATGGCGGGGGGCAATTACTGGAACCAATCCCCTTTATGGCTTTCTCTGCAGCAGCTGAAAGCTGGTTTCTTCTCCCCTTTCTCCCTCTGGCTTTTGGCTGCTGCAGAGAGAGCCATACAGGGGATCAAGCGGTAAATGCCCCCCCCCTCATTGTACACCCTCCCTGTGCATCATATGTTTCCCCCTACTGCCCAGGGCCCCTGTCGACCTTCCTTACCCCCACAGAGCTGCTGGCTTCCCTCCCTGCAATTGACACCAGGTGAGCGGTTTCCCTGGTGCAATCTGCGGAGCTCTGCTCTGACAACTGGGTCCCACACTGTATCTTAGGAGCACATCAAGGCTCAGCTGCCTGTTTGACAGCAGATCTGCTCTGTGTATCAGGAGCCGATGTCCGTTTTCCTAATACAAAAGGAGAGGAGAGCCTGGACCCCGGCCTGTACAGGGTCCAGGCCAGCAGGGGGTCCCAGGCAGCTGGGTGATCGACATGGGGGCAATTACTGGAACCAATCCTCTTTATGGCTTTCTCTGCAGCAGCTGAAAGCTGGCTTCTTCTCCTCTTTCTCCCTCTGGCTTTTGGCTGCTGCAGAGAGAGCCATACAGGGGATCAGGCGTTAAATGCCCCCCCCCCACTGTACACCCTCCCTGTGCATCATACATTTCCCCCTACTGCCCAGAGCCCCTGTGTACCTTCCTTACCCCCACAGTGCTGCTGGCTTCCCTCCTGTCCTTCCCACTGGGAGCTGCAAGCACACAATAGGATCCTTCAGGATGGAGAGTGGGGGAAGGGTGCAGGAAATATGACTACCAGACTCCTTCTTTCCTGAATGAACACAATGAGTGATCGGTACCGATCGCTCACTGTGTTCATTCATAACTGATGCCTAGTAAACTGTGTTTATTTGAGGGGGCCCTGTCAGGTTGGCTGTATGGGGCCCCGTGGTTTCTAACAGCAGCCCCATAGTTTATAACAGCAGTCCTGGACGCAACTGTCAACTTGTTTCAATTTTGAGCTTACACAGGGTTTCTTATCTTTGCATCCAGCAGCAGCTAAATAAAAGTCTTTTTAAATAAAATAAATTGTGCCAAATTCATAAAGACTGTAAAAAGGAAAAACTATATTTGATGCCCATAGTAAGCAATCACATCCTTAATTTTTATTTTCTCAAGTCCTCTTGAAAATGGAGCCTGATTTCAGTTTTTCCTTCTTCCAGTTCATATGAATGTTGCCTAGTGAGGTCGGCTATTGTCCAGTGTGTTCAGTGTCCAAACTGAGCAGATGCAAAAAGCACCATCCGGGGGCAGGAAAAAAAAGGATTTTTTTAATAGATAAAGAAGCTCTTCTCATAACATGAACCATCCATTGTTACAAAAAAAGAAAGATATCAACTAAACAATGTTGCATGGACTAAAGTGCTACTAAACCCAGGACCCTGCATTCACTATATCTGGTCTCCCACAGTACACAGAACATGGAAATGAAATCTTTTTAGTAAATATAAACTGCTAAATACCTTTTCTCATCATCAGTTAGAGCAGTCTTGTGACTTCTATCAGTGTCCAGCAGAGCACTGGTAAAAGCTTGTAGGAGGAGTTTTCATTCTCCCCTGATTGTCCAATGAGACTGCAGGACCTATGACCCTCTCTCTGGACAGTGTTGATTGGCCCTGTGCTGATCACATGCACCCTCCCAAGAAAAAAAAAAACTCTCTAGCAATACACACCACACTAAGCATGTGCATCTTGCCCCAAGGCTCTGTTTAGCAGAATGACTGGAGACATTAGAAGAAGGGAAGGATCAGAGAAGACAGGATTAAACATGCTTTTTACACAATGCAGAGGTTCCACAGTGAGTATAACACGCATGCTTTACTGCATATACAGACTGATTTTACTGTTGTGGGTTTAGTAACACTTTAAGGTGTAAAATACAGTAGTAATACTATAGTACATACCTGGTCCTCTAAAGACTACAGGCAAGCAGAAAGCTCCTGGCGTTCCAGCAGGAGCAAGAATTCAACAGGTTTACTTGTCACAAAAAAACACTGTGTGGACACCTTGCAGCTCAGCTAATGACTGATGCAGTACACTGTAAGAATGTAGATCCAAAGCTCTGAAAAGCTGAAGTGGGAGGATCTGAAATAATATCCTCAAATAAAAAGAAATACTACATGTATAGCTACTGAATGTGTGTATCATAATTTTCTGAAATGTTTTTAGAGGAGAAATAAAACTGTGAGCTTATTGCTTGCCACAATGGTGCTCTTTTTATTTATTAAAAACATCTCATGAACTTAAGGACACAGTTTACAAGTTAAAAAAAAGTGCACTGCCTGCCATAAAATGGCGCCCTTAGCACCTGACATTACCTAGTCATAGTGTGCAAACTGAATAGGTGCAAAGTGAGTGTGCTGCCTACCAACCACACGATGGTGTCCTTTGCTCCTGCTCAGTAATGTTGGTTATTATGGTGCAAAGGGCATAATTTTGTGTCAGACAGCGCACTCACTGATTGTTAACCTTTACAGATTACAAAAATGAAGAAAATGCACTGCCTACCACAGGGTGGTGTACTGTAATAGCCAATCTTACTGGGCAGGTGCAAAGGGCATCACTTTGTGTCAGACAGCGCACTCACTGACTTTGCCCCTTTGAACCTTTACCCCTGGTTCACATATCTGCGTTCCTGCGGTCCACATTTTGCACGGAAATGAGAGCCCATTCATTTGAATGGACTCCCTTGTCTCGGGACACGCAGGGAAGAAGTCTCTGCACTTCTTCTGAAAACGCAGCCCGCGCAGGAACCTCAGTTCCCAGTACGGTTGCGATTTCCAGTGCGGGCGACTTGCCATTAGAATTAATGGCACCCGCCCGCGGGTCCGCATTCTTCTGTGTGGGTGGTTTACAAAAATTTAAAAAAGATTACAAAAATGAAGAGAATGCACTGCCTACCACAGGGTGGTGTGCTGTAATAGCTAATCTTACTGGGCAGGTGCAAAGGGCACCATTGTGTGATTGGTAGGCAGCACATTCACTGATTTTTTGTTAACCCAGCATGGTACTGTGCAGAGTCCATACATACAGGAAAAGAACAGATATGGAGAATTACACCCAGTATGCAGGACAGGAGAAGTGGGACTGGGCAGAGTCCATACATACAGAATAAGAACAGATACAGAGAATTACACCCGGCATACAGGACAGGAGAAGTGGGACTGGGCAGAGTCCATACATACTGTGCAGAGTCCATACATACAGAATAAAGAATAGGTACGGAGAATTACACCCGGCATACAGGACAGGAGAAGTGGGACTGTGCAGAGTCCATACATACAGAATAAGAACAGATACTGAGAATTACACCCGGCATACCAGACAAGAGAAGTGGTGCTGTGCAGAGTCCATACATACAGAATAAGAACAGATACTGAGAATTACACCCGGCATACCAGACAAGAGAAGTAGTGCTGTGCAGAGTCCATACATACAGAATAAGAACAGATATGGAGATATATACCTGGCATATCAGACAGGAGAAGTGGTGCTGTGCAAAGCCCATACATACAGAATAAAAACAGATACTGAGAATTATATCTTAGCATACAGGACTTTACCAAGCACACAAACCACTACTGTGTAGTGTTCACACATGCTTAAAGCACAACTCCGGGAAATGTTTTTTCCTATGCAGAGGGGCTGTTCCCACACTGCATGGGTTAACTGCTTGTTTTGTCTAGGGGTGAATGCATAGCTTATACTCACCCAATCCTTTGATCTTCCGGAAAATGGCACTTCCCATGTCCAGCAGTGGACTGTTCCTGCTGTCCTTATATCCAGAACCAGTCTATGGGCATGATGACGTCAGGAACAGTCCACTGCACAAGACCACTAGGCTGGTGGGGGCAGGAGCGGCAGGGACTGGTCTCGTACTGAGAGGATTGGGGAATTAGGTAAGTATATCTCCTCTGCAGCCCCCTAGACAACAATGAGCAGTTAACCCATGCAGTGTGGGCACAGCCCCACTGAATGGGGAAAAAAAATGTAATCTAATTTTAGTAATCGCGGAATGTTAATATTTCACAATTGAGAGTGTGCAGCAAGGTGTGTAATCGCACACCTTCTTCCACCTGCAGAGAAAAACATGCTTCTGCTGCTTAGTGGAGATATGTGGAGGCACCATTAGCCTAGGTTCACACTAGAAGGCATGCTTGTCGCTGGTGCCACGTGTGGCCGGCAGCAGAGCAGGGACACCATGCAGTTGATTTCTGGCAGTCAGCTGCAGAGTGTAGTTGTGCTTTGAAATAACTGCAGCTGCACTGTGCATCATTCCGCACTCGTAACCCACGCTGTGTACATCGCTGGGCAGGCCGGGCTGTCAGGCTTGGCTTGGGCTGGGGGAGGCCGACACTGTCTTCTCGCATAGAAGAGATCCATAACCACGAAGCAGCACTAAGAGCAGGAGTGGCCAACGCTTGCCCCGCCCACTGCTCTACTCCCATTGACTCCTTGCAGTGATGCTTTTCACCTTGGACTTGGGGGGAGGAGCTTTGCCTGGACCCTCCATTGTGCAATTTAGCGGCAGTCTGTGGAGACGGTGAAGCAGGGGTGAGAATTGTCACATGCGGTGGAAGCAGCAGCAGGTGGTTGGGGGTCAAATTTTAGGCCAATAGCTCTGATCAGTGGATGGTCAGCGGCTAATCAGTGCTATTGATTTGTTCAGCAAAATTCTGCTGAACAATTCTGCTATAAAATTTTGGTCATTGAGGTGACCATGAGCTTCTGGCAGAAGCAGGAATGCAAGTCCTGCCACGGACCCAGCAGTGAAAGGGTTAATGCTTGCGAACTACAGCCATGCACTCCTTTATTATGCCATTCAGGGACCACAGCTCGTGGCATGGACAGTTTATGTGACAACGTGTTCACTAGAGCTCCGAATGATGAAAGACTTGCTCAAAGATCATATGTTCCTTGTTAGTTGAAAAGGAGATATGTGTGGAAGACTCAAACCACTGGGTAGCACCCCTACCATTTTGCCCACTCCCACCCTAGTTAAACAGGAAGAAAGCGCAGAAGAGATTCCTTGTTCTACAGCACTCCTTTGCAAGAAAACCTGAAATGAAAGACTATTTTGTTAACTTTATGCAAAACATTGTAGAACCTGCCCCACCACTGAAACTAAGTGAAGAGAGTTGGTACCTACCAATCTTTGGCATCTATGACCCTCAAAAACCAGGGCAGATCAGAGTAGTTTTTTGATTCTAGCCCTCAGTATGATGGCATCTCGTTGAATAACGTACTTCTTAGTGGTCCTGATTTGAATAATATGCTGCTAGGTGTTCTTATACATTTCCGCAAAGAGCAAGTTGCAGTTACTAATGATGTGCAGCAAATGTTTTACTGTTTCATGGTTAGAGAAGATCCCCGCAATTACTTGAGGTTCCTTTGGTATAAAAATAATGACCTCAACAAAGAAATTACAGAGTTCAGGATAGAAGTACATGTCTTTGGAAATAGTCCTTTGTCTTCCATAGCCATTTATGGTCTAAGACAAATAGCTAAGTAGGGAGCAAGTGAGTATGGATGGAGAATATTTAAAACAATTCATTTTTAGAAATGTATACGTAGATGATGGACTTACATCTGTGCCTACTGAAGCCTAAGCAGTCGGTCTCATGCAGAGAGCTATGGAGATGCTTTGCAGGATTGAGTCTCAAGCTACACAAGGTGATGTCCAATAGAAGCTCAGTAATGGAAGCATTTCCTGCAGATGATAGAAGCAGCTAAAAGACCTTGTTCTAGGTGTTGATTCTCTTTCCCTTCAATGGAGTTTAGGAGTAAGTTGGAATCTCCAGAACAACAGTTTTACCTTTCAAGTGTCTAGAGAGGCGAATCCATACACATAGAGAGGTTTCCTAGCCACAGTAAACAGTCTTTAAGACCCATTCGGGTTTGCAGCTCTGCAAGGCAAAGCCTTAGTTAGAGAGCTCTCAAAAGATCAATGTGACTGGGATTCCTCACTCTCTCCAGAAAGAAATACTCAGTGGAGAACATGGGCGGAAGATTTGATTCATCTTGAAGATCTCAGTATTCCCAGATCCTATGTGCCACTGTTGCTAACATCTACAGTGCGAAGAGAAGTATGTCTCTTTTCTGATGCTTCTACTGTGGTGATAGCAGCTGTAGCACATCTCAAAGTCAAAGACAGTAATGGTCTATGCCATGTAGGCTTTATTATGGGCAAATCTAAACTAGCTCCTGTAACAATTGGGTGCAGTAGAGACATGGAAGTGCACGCCACAGCCATCTTGTTAAGGTCTCAGCATTTTGGTTTCTTGAGCAATCTTCCTATTCTTCCCCCTACCCCTTTGCAAACTTCGGAATTTGTAGCTGTAACTTGTAACGAACTCCAAAAGAGCTCTCGTTTAACATCAATCAAGGAATATCTTAACGGACTTGAGAGCCAAGGCAACGTTTTTGCTCGGACAATTGCTAAAACCAGGACTTTGCAAGTATTCTGCCTTTTTAACTCCTTTCTTTTATTTCTTTGTTGCTTTATTGTTCTCTTTATGTCTGTGTAACATCTTTTTCTGTAAATATTTTAATTACACCATTTTTACCTGTTTAGTAATTTCCCTATTTTGAAAAGTGTTGAAACTGTTTCTAAAGCTTTTGATACAAACTAAACAATCCCTGTCTCTTGAAGAGTGCTACTGTATATAATAATCCTCTGAATAGACTTGTCTGTGGTGACAGTATGTGTTACAGACGCTTATTCTAAAATTATGGTGTTATTGCTAGGATTTGGGAGTTTCCTCCTTCTCTGTAAAAAGGTGGTGGTGGCAGTTTGAAGGGTTAATTGCGTAATTAATTAACCCAATGACAATCGCACTCAGGCTGCTGGCATATAGATTGTGATCCTTGCAAGCTGAAAAATCTTTCTGCAGGGTGCAGATGAGCGTGGCATTGTTACGCAAGTGACAGCGCGGAGTGAGATTGGCTGGTCCTTTGTCATGAGTTGGTGAGAAGGGCAGGGGTCAGGCACCACATTGCGTCACAGTTCCAAGACCAGCCCACACAGTGCCATGTTTAAAGTTATGTGTAGCCATTTTGTCAGTTGAGCTAGCAGAACTGATTCTTGCAGAAATTGGCTTTGAGCCTGATGCAGTTAAATACTACACTGACAGCGAAATTGTGATAGCCTATACATTATGTTACCACTAGTCAGAAGCCAGTAGATCATGGAATCAAACTAACTTATGCAGCTCACCTAAAACATACCAATTGGTTCTCATGCCCATATTTTTTATGCTATGTAGATACAAGTGAGCCACCTGAAGCCGAGGTATTTGACCTCATTGAACCAAATTCTGACAGTGAGATCAGACCTGAAGCTACAGCCATAATGAAAGCAAGGCCATTAGTTTCCATTTCAACAGACCCCGAGAGACCTGAAATTCTTACACCAGCGATGCTCTTGACTGACTCAGAAAGCTTGTGCAGTATTATCACTACCTGGTGAGCATACTTTAAAAATTTTATTTTTTTCCACTTACCTGTAACATACATTTCTTAGAGTACATAATGGGACACAGAGCAGGCTATAATCATTACTATCTGGGTTATGCGCTGCCTTTAGGTGAATGGACACTGGCAGACCAAACGGGGAGTCCCCCTCTATATAATCCCCTCCATACAGGAAGTACCTCAGTTCTGTAGCAAGCAATTAAATCCCAGAAAAAGGGGCGGGACCTCTGTGTGTAATGTATTCCATGAAATGAATTTTACAGGTAAGTATGTAGAAAAAAATCCAATTTTCTTTATCGTACATCACGGGACACAAAGCGGGCTATACTCCATTACTATCTGGGATGTCCCAAAGCAATATACTTGAGGGGAGGGAGACCTATTCTGTGACCCCTAATACACTGCGACCAAATCAAATCCCCCTGATGAAGCCACGTGACCAGTGGCGTAACGCGTAGGGGTGGGACTGTAACGTCACTCGGAGGGAGCCAGTTCACTTGCCGGACCACGGGTACACAGCTCTGACAGTCAGCGGTAGTTTTGGATTGTATTAGTGCTACCACTATCCGTATACAATACATGTGAGTGTCATATCCTGAGCAAATAAAGCCAATCTTTATAAAAGATAGCACCATGTCGAGATCTTTTTTATATGTGGAGAAATGGAGACGAAAATATAGAGGAGTTGCACCCTCTGGAGAAGCGATTCATCCCATAGCATATATCGTATACCACGGATACTCATTACCTCAAAGCAGGAGTTCCAAACAAGCAGGTTCCAAAGGAGGTGAACCGCAAGCTTATATAGCCTAATTGCAGGCTTCCTATGAGGTGAGCGCACATCTTCACTTGTGGGAGGATTCACAAGCAGTCACCGATTTATAATCATTATAGATTGAAGATTTTTCAGCACAAAGTCACTTTTTTTTGGGACATTATTTCCACTTTTATATTATTTTACATTTTTTTGTTTTTATTTATTCATGCACATGGTTTATCCTGACTGATTCATAGCTTAAGGTTATTATAATTTATGATTAATCCATACATCATTCTCAATTATTGTGATT